TTTACCCAAACTACGTTAGGTGACCTATGTTATACCTAAGAGAAACAACACACTGCACTCTGTTTAATTGTCCAAGGCTTTTGTTATGGCTCACTTCCCTTTCCCACAGGCTTCAAAGCCAAGCCATAAATATTTAATTGTTGATAGAAATCCAGAAGAGCACCTGTAATAATACTGCGCTCTTCCCTCTATCTTATCACAAGAATGTCCTTGAGAAGGAGCCTTTCATAATTCTCTCCACTTCAAGTAAAACTTCAAGCCTCTAGTTGGCAGTGTTACAAAGTTTCTTAGTTCTCACTTTCCCCCCTCCTCTCACAAAGAGATGATTAAAGTTCAAAAAAAAGAACAAGAGATATATACATATATATACAAAAAGAGAAATAACCAAAGGGAGCCTCTAGCCTAAAAAAAAGTTAAAAAGAAAAAAAAAAGAGATCCAAGGGAGAATGAAATATATGTAGAAAGAGAAAAAAAAAAACCAGTCCGGTTGTCTACTAAGTAACAATAAAGTCCGGTAACAAAAAAAATAAAAATAAAAGTAAAACCTCGCTTTGACGTCTCCCTTAAAAAAACGCCGCTAATTCAGTTTTGTCAAAAATCACACAGATTTCTTCTAACAATCAAAGTGTCCTTTCAAACCTCAAAATATTAAAAAAAAAGCAGTTTCTCACCCAGCCAACACAGTTTCTCTTTCAGCCTCTTCCTTTCCGGAGCTGCCCCGACTTCAGCAACATGCAGGCTACCTCTTCGCCGCCAGCAAAAGGGACTTCTCCTGGGTCATCCAGGGACTTTGCGGTGTCCCTGGGATCCGCAGGGTATGCCCCTCACAATAACCGTCCCTACGGGATGGTTTAAGTCCGTTTGGACCGGCCAGGGGCGAAGATATCGGCTGCAATCGTAGAGCTCGATTGCAAGCCGTATCGTCTCGGCGCCAGCTCCTCCCCTCTCCCCAAAGTCCCTTTCAATTCTTGTTAAACACATGTGTATTTTATGCTCTGGACTATTGACATTGAATACATGTAAACCCTGAAAAATATGTGGTAGCGCTGGGCAAAAGAAAGGCAGAAAAATCACTCCAGGTGTAGGGACAGTGTAAAATATTAACACATGATAAATAATGGAACAATTAAAAATAATAGCACAGAGTTTTTTCTCTCTCTCTCTCTCTTCCTATTTTTTCTTTCTTTCTCTTCTTTCTTTCTTTCTTTCTTTCTTTCTTTCTTTCTTTCTTTCTTTCTCTCTCTTTCTCTCTTTCTCTCTCTTTCTTTCGCATACACACACACACGCGCACACACACATGGAGTACTTTTGTAGCTTAACAGACATGAATTTTGAAGCAGCTCCTTTAAATTTCTCCAAGGCTGGAGTGGATTCCCCCACCCCCTCTGTCAGACCACACTCCTTCTCACTCCAGGCACTTTTAACTCACAAGGAGAAAGCAATACTTTCAGCGGCCATGGGGAATCCTTGGAGAAGTTTTTAAAGGACCTGCTTCAAAATGCATTTCTTTTACATTGCAAAAGTGCTCCAAGGCTTGATTCACTCCCACCCCCTCTGTCAGCACACACTCTCTCTCATTCCAGGCACTTTAACTCACATGGGGAAAGTGATACTTGCAGCGTCTATGCCTTTCTTCTCCCCCCCACCCGGGAGAAAGAGGACGTGGGGAATGGAAAGCTAGGAGAGGGATCGGGGCAAGTGAGCGACTGGGTGACCAGGTTGGGGGTGTGGCCAGCCAGGGGTCACCACCAGTTCAGTGACCCATGCCAAATAACTGCTACCGTTTCGCCCAAATAGGTGTGAACTGATTGAATACCACCTCTGCTACCTATCCATCCATCCATCCATGCATCCATGCATCCATGCATCCATGCATCCATGCATCCATGCATCCATGCATCCATCCATCTATCTATCTATCTATCTATCCATCCATCTATCCATCCATCCATCCAAAAGGTCTGTCTGTCTGTCTGTCTTCCTGCCTGCTTGCCTGCCTGCCTGCCTACCTACCTACCTACCTACCTACCTATCTGTCTCTCTCTCTCTCTCTCTCTATCCATCCATCCATCCATGTTTGAGGCGCTGGCCCCGCAGGCACATTGGGAAAGTAGAGCAAAGCCAGTCTGGGAGGGAGGGAGAGAGAGAGACCTGATGCATCAAATTGAAATGAGGCCTAGTTTAGACTGAGGCCCTTTTCCACATTGAAACATCTTTGCCAGCACATTGAAACATCTTTGACTTCTATTAAAGGTTTTGTGGACGAAAAATGGTCAAGACTATCAGGAAGCTCTCACGTTTTGTTGAGGCTTTAAACAGGATCCATTGGACCAGACCTCCACCCTAAAAAATTACTTTTCCCCAATGTATTACAGTACCAATTCTGAAGAAGGCAAAACCAAAATGTACTGGTAAATTACAAGGAGAACGCACACACACACACACACACACACACACACACTCCCTTCTAACCCTGCTGGAGCAGGTGATTGGACAAGAATAGATATCTCATTATCTTTCTCCTCCCTCCCTCCCTCCTTTATTTCTTTTTCTTTCTGTCCCTTCCTTCCATCCCGCCCTCTTTCTTTGTCCCTTTTTCTTTCTTTCCCTTTTCTCTCTCTTTCTTTTCTCTCTCTCTCTCTTTCCCTCTCTCAGGCTCACCCCATCGACTTGGTGCACCGCTCCACTTGGACTTGCTTAGGCAGGTCCCTCCGGTGCAGCGGGCTCAATGGGGTAGACCTGTGGGGCTAGCAACTAGAACGCGGCAGTGGTGGCACATATGAAAAGTAGAGCAAAGCCAGAGGTCAGTAATTTTTGCTGCAAAGAATCACAAAAGCTTCTGGGCTGTGCACAAGAAGAGACACACATGTCAATGCAATTCAGCAACAAAAAATAAAGAAATACAAATAAAACAAATCAACAAGAATCAGCAAAGCATCTCTGATTAGATTCTATTCACTACTAGAATCTAATTAGAGATGCTTTGCCAGTTCTAGTTCAATGACCTGCTCCAGCAGGGTTAGAAGGGAATGTGTGTGTATGTGTGTGTGTGTGCATGGCTGTCAAAACTCCAAAAACAGGTCAAGTATCTCTGGGGAGGCCAGTCATAAATTAGAACACTTGCTAAACAACCGGCCATTAAGTGAGGATCACTTTTATTTGGTTTGCCAGTCACCTGGCCATGACCACCCGGTCACATAACCACCAAACCACACCCACCCGGTCATGTGACCAGCAAGCCACGCCCACCCAGCAAGCCACGCCCAGCCAGTCACATGACCAGCAAGCCACACCCACCCAGTCACATAACCAGCAAGCCCCCCCCGTCACATGACCAGCAAGGCACGGCCAGCCAGCCACGTAACCAGCCAGCCATGTCCACCCAGTCACATGACCAGCAAGCCACACCCTCAAATTAGGCCACACCCACAGAAATTTGAATCCCACCCCTGGGTGGGGGGCACCGAGGATGAGTTTGTAGCACCAAGGGGGCGGTGGACTGAAAAAGTTTGGGAACCACTGGTATAGGCTATTGATACCCCTCTCATATAGGCTTTTGTCATGTCCCACAAATTCTGCAGATTGGTTTGTTCTTTTAAATTTATGCTAAAAATATCTCCAATTCATTTTTAATTTTCTATGTGTATTTTTTTTCTTTCAAAATTTGCAAGTTTAATGTCCATCCCATTTTCCTTTTCCTTTGCTTTTTTGAAATAATTTTTAGTGGATTATGGTCTGCCCATATATTGGGCATTATTTCTACTTTGTATATATCATTTCCAATTGTCCTATTTGCCCATACCATATCGATTCTTGACCAAGATTTGTGGGGACTTGAGTAAAAGGTGTAATCTTTTTTGTTTGGGTATCTTTTCCACCATACATCCTCTAAATTAGTTTCTTTTATCAAATCAAAAAATGGCTTTGGTAGACAATTCTTTTTTTTCTTCCTAATTTGTCCCTTACCAGTGTAATCCTGTTCAATGTCTACTATGGCGTTGAAATCCCCGACTAAGCATGTATTGCCCTGTTATGACTCCCCTTCAAAATTCAAACGAACAAAACAGAAAGCAGCCGCTTCAAAATTAAATCAAACAGAAAGAAGTCTTACAAGATAACGGCTGGCAGAAATCTCAATCCACAGCATAAATCTTTACTCTGTCCGGCAAACCAGACCTGGCAATAAATCTCCAGTCTCAGAGCTTCTTGCTGTAACATCCTCACTCAATAAGTCACTTTGTTCCTGGCAAATTCTACCAGCCCAGCTGTGTCCTTTTATACTCATTGAGGCAATGTGCTAATTTACTGACTCGCCCTCCTCCTTCGTTCCAGCTGAGTTTGCCTTCTCAAACGTCTTCTGTTCCTTACATTTAACCACAAATTTTCCAAGTTCTCATCTCCACTAGAAGACTCTCTCAAAACTTCCCTGTCAGCCATTCCCAGCTGTTGATCAGATAAGGAACCAGAGGAGGTCAAAGGTCCTGACAATTCTAATACATCAGGTCTGTCTTCCTTTGTCACATCCATCTCCTCATCCTGGTTACTAGTCCAATCACTGAGCCATGCCGGCACATATTTTTCTGCCATGTCCTCCTCACTTGAACTCATATCAGTCACAGGAGCTGAATCCAAGCCCGGAGCCACAACATTGCCCTGTCCCATCTCCACTATTTTCTCATATAGTTTTTTGTAGAACACTTTTTCATTCACATTTGGGGCATATATCCGCACTAATAGTATTTGTTTTTGAAGTATATTCAATTGAACCATCAAAATTCTTCCCTGTTCTTCTGCATAAATCTGTTTTGCATTTTTCCCTTTTCTAATGTACATAATTATCCCTTTTTTTGATCTGCCAATGCTACATATAATTCACCTAATTTGGGATATTCCAGGGATTTGGGATTTGGGATATTCTATGGTTTGTTTGTTTTTTGAATATGTACCGTGTTTCTCAGAAAATAAGGCCGGGTCTTATTTTCTTTTGACCCCCGAAAAAACAGCTAGGCCGTCTTTTCGGTGGTGACTTAATTTCTCCCCCCATGCACCCTCGCCTAGAGCGCCCCGCGGGCAGCCGTGTCTCACCACCAGCCGCTCATAATGGCCGATCATGGCAGAGTGTGGAGATCTCCCTACCCCAGCCAAGCACCTTTGCTGCAGACCTGGGTATGGTGCTGACTGCAGACTGGGTCAGTGGGCGGACGGTGGCAGCATGGATGTAGGCCTCAGTGGTGGCAGGGCACTTTGCACCACTGCCACTTCCTCCGCTGCCATTGCTTTCCCTTCTACCCTCGCTGCGGTTTATGGTTCGGAGGTTCGGAGTGCTGCCATTGGCCAAGATGCAGAGGCCAGAGTCCCTGCTGGACTTCGGGTGTGGCGGGAGTGGAGAAGTGGCCCTTCTAGTGGGTGGAGGAATGGTTCGAGCACATTCCCCCGCCAGCAGTGTTTCAGCTGCTTCTTGGGTGGGGGAGCCACCTTCGTAGCTTCCAGGGTTCCCTCCGGTGGTGGCACCTCTCTCGCCAGTGCCAGCTCCAACAACAGCGGCAGCATCAGCGGCACAGACCCCGCTGCCGGCGAGAACCACCTGCCCTCCCGCAGGGGCATCGCTTTGCTTGACAGTAGCTGCGTTGACAACATCCTGCAAATTGGTGAGTCATTTGGGCTTTGGTGGGTGGAAGTGGCAGCAGGAGGGTGATGCCATTGTTTCTCTCCCCCCCTCCCACGCCTTGCTTTGCTTTCCGCCCCAGAGCCTCGGGTCACGGTCTCGTCCCCTGTATGGTCGGGCACTCTCCTCTTGCTCCAGCCACCTGAAACCCCGCCGTGGACCTTTTCCCCCTCTTTAAGTTTTCTTTATTCTCATTCCCTCCATCAGTTCCCTAAGAATACAGACTGGCCAGGCAATTTCCTCCCACCACCCTCCTGGTAGTTTTAAAAAGGGAACCTTCTATCCATTTTGCCCTTCGAGCAGAGGCAAACCTTCCAATCCAAACATAAAAGAAAGGGAATTATCCTACAGACCCTTAGCACCCCCTTAGAATTATGAACGAAAGAATCAGCAGGAGAATCCTCTGGGAAGCTTGGCAGGGAAAGAAGGAGGGAGAGAGGGAAGAGTGTCTTTGGGATTTGCCTGGAGAAATCCAGGAGGTGGATTTCCATCCTATTTCTGTCCTTCAAGGAGATGAAGGTGGGGAGAGCATTTAAGGGGGTGCTACCCTCCCTCCCTCCTTTGGGGTGAATCCTTTGGGAGAATCCTCTGGGAAGCTATGCCACACATAGGACAGAAATGGTGAGGATGGATATGGGACATCATTGGGAAAAATCTCTTTTGTGGTGGTCAATCATATGACAAAGGCTGTGATTTTGGGGCTATCATGGCTTGATAAATGGTGTCCAACTATTCATTGGGAGGAAGGTTTCCAGAAAATATGTTTGGTGATGGGGCCTGACCCACCAGAAGACAATATAGCAGAGACTATACCACCTAATACAGTGAAGACTTTAGGTGAACAACCAGAGAAACTCATGTATCCTATAGAATATACCAATCTGGCTGAGGTATTTAACGAACGTGGGAGTGATCAGTTACCACCACATCGCTCTACTGACTGTGCAATTGAGCTACTGCTAGGTATGAAATTACCAAAACCCCGAATGTACTCTATGACCCTTAAAGAATTGGACGAAATGCCTAGGTACATTGACAAAAATCTGGAGAGGGGGTTTATTAAAACCGGATGTGCCCATATAGTGTCCCCAGTATTATTCAGAGAGAAAATGGATGGTGGGCTAAGACTTTCTGTTGATTTCAGGGGTCTTATTGTGGTGTGTGTAGAACCGCTATATCCTTTACCATTAATCAAAGACCTGTTAGCTAAGTTGTCAAAGGGACGGATATTTATGAAAATAGACTTAAGAGAGGCGTACTATCGAGTATGTATACATGAAGGAGACGAGTGGAAAACAACATTCAATTGCTCACTCAGTAGCTTTCAATTCTGGGTCATGCCATTCGCTTTACAGGGAACTCCTGCTGTATTTATGCAGCTTATTAATGAAATTTTGCATGACCATTTATATAAGGGAGTCTTAGTATATTTAGACGATATCCTAATCTATTCCAATGATATGAGTACTCATATACAACTCATGCAACAAGTTTTTAAAAAGTTGTTACAGGCACAGTTATATGTCAAACTGTCTAAATGTGAGTTCCACTGTAATCAGTTAGATTATTTAGGACATAGGATTTCTGGTAAAGGGATAGAAATGGACCCTCACAAAGTCAAATCAGTAATAGACTGGCAAACCCCAACTACTCAGAAGCAATTACAGAGTTTTTTAGGTTTTGCGAATTTCTATTGCCAATTTATTCCATCATTTGCAATGATCGCATTACCACTGATGGAACTCTTAAAAACAAAACAATTACCACAGACCAAACATAAACCAGGGAGTCCCATTGAATGGCCAGAGAAATGTCAACAAGCTTTTGAGGATTTAAAGCAATTATTTGCCCAGGAACCGGTATTGAAACACCCCGATCCTGATCTGCCTTTCGTGGTTCAAGCCGACACTAGTGACGTAGCAGTAGGAGCGGTGCTATTGCAACACAGTGAAAAGGGGGTACTGCAGCTGTGCAGTAAAAATTCAGTTCTAGTGAACGAAATTGGGCTATATGGGAGAAGGAGGCATTTGCGGTCTGTTGGGCTTTGGCAACCTGGAGAAATGTGTTAGAGGGAGCCCAAGTCCCTTTTGAAGTGAGGAGTGACCACAGAAATCTTGAGGCACTACTGTCACCGAGGAAATTGTCCCCTAAATAGGTACGTTGGGAATTATATTTCCATTGTTTTAATTTTATATTGCGATATGTCCCTGCAGGGAAAAACTTTATGACAGATACACTTTCCCGCTTGCTGCAATATAATAGTAGGAGAAGTGAGGTGGTACAACCTCTCATTCCGGCACAAGGTTCCATATAATCCTTACAGTCCCAATTGGCAACAGAGTTGTGTGAAGCAATACGGCATGATCAATGGTTGAAAGAGAATCCTACGTTGTGTGAAATTCGAGATGGCATGGCATGGAAGGGCACAAAATTGTATATACCAAAAATACTACGACCCAGGGTCTTGAAACAGTGTCATGACGCTAAACTGGCTGGTCACTATGGGTTTTTAAAAACATTACATCTAGTGAAATGTCAATTTTGGTGGCCTTCTATGAGGACAGATATAGAGGACTATATTAAAGGATGTCATGTTTGTGTGACAACAAAAACCAGGCCAGGAAAACCGTTAGGATTACTACAACCAATATCTGATCCTCATCGTCCATGGCAGGATATTGGTATGGATTTTAGTGTAGACTTACCTAATAGCCGGGGTTATACTGTTATTTGGACCGTAATAGACCTTTTCTCCAAGCAGGCAGATTTTATACCTTGTACTGGTCTTCTGTCAGCACGTAAATTAGCCGGTCTATTCATTAAGCATGTTTATTGGTTACATGGTGTGCCACAACAGATTATATCTGATAGGGGGGTACAGTTCACTGCCTGATTTTGGAGATAATTCTTACAGGTTATAGGATCATCGCAAGGACTGTGTATGGCATACCATCCAAGTACTAATGGGGCTGTAGAAAGAGCCAATGTGGCGATAGAATTCGACTTACATTGTTATGTGTCATACCAGCAGACAGACTGGGCTACATTAATAACTTTTGCTGAAGTATTGTATAATAACGCAGTACATAGCAGCACAGGACACACCCCTTTTAAGGTTGTATATGGAATGTATTTTGTAACTGTACCTGAATTACCTGAGATGATGGCCAACCCTACCACTGCTACCACCTGGTCTATGAAGATCACAGAAACTTGGAGAAATGTACATGAAGCTATACATAATGCATTTAAAGCTTATAAGACACATACCGATAAGAAATGGAGTGATGGGGAGCTGGCGTCTCAGTGGTACAGCGTGCAATCTTGAAGCTCCAAGGTTGCCACTGATATCTCTGTTGCAGGATGGTCCCACCGGACCTAAACTGTCCCGTACAGATGGTGACTGAGGAGGGCACATCCTGTCGATCCCAGGGACATCGCAAAGTCCCTGGTTGATCCAGGAAAAGCCCTTTTGCCGGCAGCAGAGAGGCAGCCATTCAAGCTGCTGAAGCTGGGACAGCTCTGGAACGGAAGAGATTGAAGGAAAGTGTGTCAGCTTGGTGAGATGAACTTTTACTTATTATTACTTGAAGAGAACATCCTGAAAGATTTAAAGTGAAATTAAAAGTGAAGAGGAAAGAGTTTAAGCGGCGAAATTAAACTAGTTAAAGTGAAAGTTTTTTTTCTTTTTCCCTTTTTATTGGAACTTTGAATTTGGTAAAGTTACTGAATTTTAAACTGGACTGGTTTCCTTTAAGTTTTCATCCTTGTTTTTATTTTTATTTTTTTAGTAACTTTTTGAAAGTCTGTTTTGATTAAGACTCTTCTTTTGGATTTGAGTTGTATTTTTTTTTCAAAAAAAAAGGAAGGATTCCATTTTCTCTTTTTGTTTCTGGTATTGGATACAAGAGGGGAGAGTGAAAGTGAAGGGGGAAAAAGTAGCACTGCTATTTAGAGGCTTGGACATATTGTTTCTTTCACAGTTTGTTTATGTATTTGCTATACTCAAGGACTCTGAGCTTTGCAATGGAAAAGATAGTGGGATGAGCATGGTAGATTGTTTATACAGGTGCTCATCTGTGAAACTAAATAATTAGAGCTTTGAGCTGAAGTTGAAAGAAAGAAGATTGAAGTGACCTTGAAAATACCGGAACCAGAAACATTGAGTTTGATTTATTAAAGAGCCTTGGATACTTAGTGGCAGCAGCTGGCTTAACTCTCAATTATTTTCCATCTCCTTTTCCACTCCCCCCCCCTTTGGATTTTTATGTTTGGATTTTAACCTTCTATTCCAGAAACTAGAATGGTTTTTTTACTTTTTTATCTTCTTCCTTTTCTCTTTTTTATTAAGAGAAATAATTGGATTAAGGTACATAAGTGCCTGAAGATTTTTCTCTCCCCCCCCTTTTTTTTGAGTGGCAACTGCCTGCCTGTACTCCTTTTTTCTTTCTATTTCCTTTTTTCCTTTTTCTCTCTTCCTGTCTACAGGTAAGCAGAAGATGAGCAAAAAGACAACAGCCCCAGCTTCCTCCATACCAATAGCCTCTTCACCATCTGGAGGACAACGGTCAATACAGACAATTTTACAACAGGAGAAAGAGAAGGAAGTGACATTACAGAAGATTATGCAAGGAATCCAGAAGATTGAAAAGAGAATAGAGAATATTGAGCAAATAGCTGAGAATATTGAGCAAAGAAGTGAAAAGACAGATGAGAAAGTAGAGAACATTCAACAGATGTTGATGAAATATGATGACAGAATTAAGAAAATTGAAGAAG